GAGAGAGGCAAATTTGAATGAAGATTTGTTGGTCACGATTGAGAATAATGAACAAATAAATGTAATGGCAACACACATAATGGAAAGGATAGAAGATGATGAAGGTATCAAAGAAATTGATGAGGAGATACAAGTGGAAACTAGGGAACATGGCATTGCAGGGGTTGATACAATAGTCTCAGATACAGAGGTGGAAGGTACTGTGGAGGAACTAGGAAGTATTCGTGATTGTATTTCAGATTCTGAACAAAGGGCTCAACAGCATACGAGGAAAACAGTACACAAGGTCAGACGCTCTACAAGGGTTCCAAGCGGACCCTCTAGGCTTCATCTATGAGTTGCAACTATTTCTTTTGGAACGTGTGAGGTATAGGGACCTCGACACGTAGGCTACGGAAGGTGGTGAGAAGGTATAAGCCAAAACTAGTTGCAATAGCGGAGCCTTGGCAAACGACGGATAGAATGGAAAATTCGCAAAAGAAACTAAAATTTAATTTTGGTTTATCGAATGATGACGTGGAAGGAAAATTATGGATTTTGTGGGGCCATGATGTACAGGTTCATTTGATAAATAAAAGCAACTAACAAATCACTTGCCTGGCGATAGAAGGGAATTACCTGGTGGTGGTTTATTTTATTTATGCAAAATGCACAGCTGTAGAAAGAAGGCTGCTTTGGTCAGAATTAGAAGAGGTGAACCATTCAGACATTCCTTGGGTAGTGATTGGAGATTTTAATAGTATTAGAAACAATTCAAAAAGGCGTGGAGGCTGACCTAGACCAATGGGTGCTATGGAGGATTTTAATCAATTTATTGATAACTGTGGGTTGATGGAAATATACTTAGATGGTGGAGAACCTTATTCTTGGTGTAATGGTCACATAGGTTGGAATAGGAGTTGGGCAAAATTGGATAGATCATTTTATGATTCTAACTGTTTGGAGCAATTTCCAAACGTTCATATGAGATATTTAGCTCGCACCACATCAGACCATGCACCAATGCTGATTTGGCTAGAGACACATATGGTTCGCTATGGCCCTACATGATTTAAATTTCAACAAATGTGGACTACACATGAGAACTCTAAGGATTGTGTACTTAAGGTATGGGGAGAAAACTCAGAAGAAAGTGGTTTATGGTGCCTAGTTGGAAAACTTAAAAGGTTGAGGACTACACTACGCAAATGGAACAAAGAAGTGTTTGGGTGGACGCGGGAACACATTCAGCGGCTGGAAAAAGAGTTAGAAGAGTTGGACGCTAGCCTACAAGTGGCTCATTTGGAGGAGGTTGAGATTTTGCTACAAAAACAGAACTTGCCATTTGGGAAAAGAGAGATGGAATGCGCCTGGAACAAATAGCAAAGCAGAGGTGGATTGAGAAAAGTGAAGTAAGCAATCAATTCTTCAAGCAATTTAATTGTAGGACCTTTCACAAGGTCAAGGAGATGAAACTAAGAGACGGGTCGGTGCTTGAAAATCCTTAGGCTATCCATCACGCAACGGTTGACTATTTTCAAAATTTATTAGGAGCTAGACCCAGAAGAGACCAACCAGACTTATCAGCCTGGATCCAACCAACTGTTTCAGAAGCAGAGAATGAGGAAATAGGAAGGCTTCCTACTCCCCAGGAGGTCAAAAAAGCAGTCTTTTCTATCCCAGTTGACAGTAGCCCTGGGCCTAATGGATTTGGCTCTGGCTTCTATAAATCTTGTTGGGACATTGTGGGTGAAGATGTTGTGGAGGCAGTGTGCGATTTCTTTCGAGGTACGGATATTCCAAGATTTTACTCCTCATCCTACATGTTGTTAATTTCGAAGATAGCTTCCCCTTCGAGTTTTGACAAGTTCAGACCAATCAGTCTATGCTTAGTGATGTACAAGGTATGGTCGAAAATTCTGGTTAAAAGAATAGCTTTAATTCTACCAAGAATTATTTCTATGGAGCAAGGTGCTTTTATTCCGGGGAGAAGTATTTTTGATAATATTACTCTTTCTCAAGAGATGATTCATTACCTTCACAAGCCTGTAAGGGGTGAAAATGTAGTGCTTAAAGTGGATATTGCCAAAGCATATGGCAGCATTGATTGGGATTTTCTTATGCGCGTTTTGAGATCTTTTGGTTTCTCACCCAAGATTTGTGATCTGGTAAGATAGTGTGTAACCTCTCCTTGGTATTCTATGATGATGAATGGAACAATAAAGGGTTTCTTCAAAGGTGGAAGAGGTTTGAGACAAGGGGATCCCCTATCCCCATATCTCTTTATCGTGGTTGAAGAAGTTTTATCCAAAATGTTGAGAGCTAAATATGAAGATGGAAGCATAAGACCTTTTTCCTTGCCAAAGGGGGCTCCCCTAATTTCTCATCTACCGTACGCTGATGACATCGTGATATTTGCGAATGGTGGCAAAAAATCGTTAAGAGCTATTAAGGAAGTATTCAGAAAATATGAAGAATGGTCGGGACACGCATCCTTTTCTGTAAACAGATCACCGTGTCAAGAAGGCGGATGCTCTTACGACTCACTGGATTCACTGAAGGTAAATTCCCTTTCAAATAGTTAGGGGTTCCTATAATCACAGGAAGATTGAGAGCTCAAGATCTTGAGGAAGTGGTAGAAAAAATTCGTATGAGATTGGCAGGTTGGAAAAGTAGAGTCTTATCTAAAGGGGCTAGACTGTTGCTTCTGAAACATGTCTTCACAAGCATACCTTTGCATTCGATTTCTTGTATAAAAGCTCCTTCTTCGATTATAAAAGTCATTAATAGAATATTTAGTGATTTCTTCTGGGGATATGCAGATGGAAAGCCTAAGAGGAAATGGGTAGCATGGGACAAAATTTGTATGCCTGTTAAAGAAGGCGGTGCTGGACTTCGTAGTCTACATGAAGTGCAACTATCACTAAATATGAAATTTGCTTGGAAAATTTTGACTGAAACATCTCTTTGGTCAAAATTTTTTAGGGCAAAATATATCAAAGACAAACATATATCTCAGGTGGATGCTACTAAAGGATCAAGATTCTGGAAGATGGTTATGAAGTGCATGCCAGATGTTCTCAAACGATCTAGATGGCGAGTGAAGGAAGGTGGTGTTGCGTTCTGGTGGGATAAATTGTCAAACATGGATTCTTTGGGTGATCGGTTGTTAGTGGTTGAATAGCCTAAAATCTTGATCAAGGATCTTAAAGCTGACAACGGATGGAATGAAAGGCTGTTGGAGGAGTTAGTTGGGAGAGATCAAGTGGGAGAAATTCTTGTTAAATTGGGAAAAAATGAGATAGGTAAAGACAAATTGATTTGGACTGAAAAATTGGATGGAAAAATTTCTGCAAAAAGTGCTTGGAAAGCTACTAGACGTTAGGGGCAGATATCACAGTGGCATGAATGGATTTGGCACCCAACACTACCAAAGAAGATTTCATTAAGTATTTGGTTAGCCATGAAAGGAGGCCTCTTAGTAGATGACAAAATTCAAAAGGCGGGCATTTCTATTGTATCAAAATGTATGTGTTGCTCTCAAGGGGGTATGAGGATCTGGATCACGTATTAGCTTTGGGTGACGTTGCCCAACAAATTTGGCAAAAAGCTTCAACCTTACTGGGAATTCAATATATAGAGACTCGAGGGTGGAGGGAGCGCGTAGAAACCTGGTTCCAAAGAGCAAAACAAACATCACATAAATGTACTCTAGTGGGTATTATTCCTAGTATTATTTGCTGGCATTTATGGTTGTGGCGATGTTCAGCCAAGATGGAGGACAAGAGGGAATGTATAGAAGCTACTTGGAGGAAAATTAAAGTTTGGATCTTTTGGGTGGGGCTAAAACTAAAAAAAGCGAGAACATTTAACAGAAGAGATGAATGGGTGTTGAGGGAGCTTAATATCCTGGACAAGCCAATTAAACGGAAAAACTTTAAAGTAATGAGATGACAACGACCACTGGAAGGGTGGCACAAACTCAATACTGATGGGTATTGCCTGGGCAATCCTGGAATTTGTGGTGTTGGAGGTATTATTCGGAATGAAAGAGATGATATTGTCATAGCCTTTGCTGAGGAACTTGGTGAGGGTACTAATAATGGAGTTGAGCTATTGGCATTATTATATGGGCTTCGACATGCTAAAAGGATGGGGATTAACCGTCTTGAAGTGGAGATAGATTCATTGATTATCGTTAATTGGTTAAGGAGGAAGGTTTGTGGTATTTGGTATCTAGAAGATTACTGGGAAGAGATACAATACATGCTGCCTATAATCTCTTGTAGAATCCAACACATATATCGGGAGGGTACCTCGGTAGCTGATATCCTGTCGAAATTGGGAGCGTCTTGTGTTTCACATATCTGAATGGACTCTATCACAATCCCATCATCAGTTAGAGGAGCTTTGCGTATGGATAAACTAAGCACCCCCAATTTTCGTGGCTTTTCTCCTCACAGTTTGTCTTTAAATCTTCCAATGTTGTTCTAGATTACAAGTAATTTGGCTTACTTTGATATGGTTGGTGTTTTGCAAATCTTATGTAACTACAGTATTCCTTCGCCACAAGTAAGGGTTCATCAATAAAAATCATTTAGTTTAAAAAAAAATAACGGTAAATAACTATCTGGAACAACTAACTTTAGCTACAATAACTAACTCTTCTTCTTAGCTAGTTTTTCTTCTAATTTTGCTTTTTCTTTTTAATTCTATGCTGTCAATTGTGATGTAATACTCCAATACCTCCCCCCCTCAAGATGAACATGGATGTTAGTAAGGTTCATCTTACGAAGAGTGTGATGAAAAGGTAAAGAACCAAGGGGTTTAGTAAAAATATCAGCAAGCTGGAGCTTAGATGGAATGTGAAAGATTTTAGTAACATTTTGTTGCAATTTTTCCCGAACAAGATAACAATCAATTTGAATTGTGGTTTCCTCTCATGTTGAACTGGATTTGTGGCAATGGCTAATGCAGATTCACTATTGGAATAGAGGAAGTTGGTTGCGGATGATCAATGTTTAGGTCTTGTAAAGCATAAAGGAGCTATTGAATTTCACATGTAATAGTTGCAACAGCTCTATGCTCTGCCTCTGTTGAAGAGCGACTGATTGTTGCTTCTTCAACTTCCATGACATTAAAGAATTTCCAAGAAAGATTGCAAAACCAGTGAAACTTCTTTGAGTGTCTACACAGCCTGCCCAATCACTATCTGAAAAAGCATTTAAGTGTAAATTTGAAGATCCTAGAAAGAAAAGACCATGCCCTGGTATAGCTTTTAGATAACTCAATACTCTAGTTGCTGCTTGAAAATGACTCACAGTAGGGGTAGCACGAAAGTGGGTAAGCACTTGGGCAGAATAGGCTAAGTCAGGCCTTGTGATAGTTGAGTACAACAATCTACCAACAAGTCTATGATAGCCTGATGGATCCTCATACAAAAGAGTGTTAGAAGTAGAGAGCTTCAGATTAGATTCCATGGGAAAATCAGCAGGTTTAGAACCAGTTAAACCAGTGACTTCGAGGATGTCAATGGCATATTTTCTTTGACACAAGGAGATACCGGTCTTAGACCTAACCACCTCTAAACCAAGGAAATACTTAAGTTGGCCAAGATCTTTAATAGTGAATTCATCATGTAAAAATGACTTTAATTGCTGAATCTCCAAAATGTTATCACTTGCCAAAAGTACATCATCCACATAGGCTAACAATGCAATAAAAGAATGTTTAAATCTTTTGATGAAAAAGGAAGAATTAGAATAGCCTTGGAAAAAACCATAGTGAATGAGAGCATTGGATAACTTGGCAAACCATTGTTTGGAAGCTTGTTTTAGACGATAAAGGCTCTTTAAAAGTCTGCAAGCATTGTGACCACCTGTTGCAGCTATTCTAGGAGGCGATTCCGTATAAACATCTTCATGTAAATCTCCATGTAAGAAGGCATTATTGACGTCTAGTTGATGGAGATGCCAATTTTTAATTGCAGCCATAGCAAGAATAAGTCGAGTGAAAGTGATCTTTGCTACAAGAGAAAAGTTTTCAAAGAAATCCAAACCTTCCTGTTGAGTGTACCCTTTTGTAAACAATCATTCTTTGTATCTCTCTTTGGTTCCATTAACCTTATACTTAATTTGAAACACCCACTCACAACCATTGGCTTCCTTGATTTCAGAAGAGTAACAAGCTCCCATGTTTTGTTTAACTCCGAAGCATTAATATCATTTTGCATAGCATCTTGCCATTCAGGGATTTTAGTGGCTTGTTTGAAAGATTTTGGTTCCAAGGAAGTTGAGATAGAAGTTAAAAAGCTTTATGTGAAGAGGATAATCTGCTAGTTGAAATGAAATGTTGGATGGGATAGAAAGGGCTTGCAGATGGGAAGCAATTAGAAGAAGGACAGATATTACCTATGGTGAGCAACCAGATGAAGGAAATTCTGAGCTAGGGATTAAGATGAAGAGATAGTACCACAGTAATAATCTTGCAAATGAACTGGTGTTTGAACCCTATTTGATTTTTTAAATGGTGGAGGATCTATTGAAGGAGATATGACCTGATCAATTTGTGTGGATAAATCATGAGAAGAATGGTTATTTGTAGATGATGGAGATGGCATAGATTGAGCCAAAGGAAAGGAGTCTTCACTTGAAGATTGAGCCAAAGGCAAGGAAGATCTGGAATAAAAATGATCTAGGAAGGTTGACAGAAAGAAAAATGGAAGCTAGAAGAAGATGAAATGCTTATTTCATTAATGAACTGAATAGATCGAACGTTACATCAGACACAAGCCATATTTATACAGGAAATAACCAACAGATGAAGTGGACTAACTGAATAACAAAATAACAGAAAATAACTAACCGGAACAACTGACTTTAACTACAATAACTAACTCTTCTTCTTTGCTGGCTTTTCTTCTAATTTTGCTTTTTTCTTTTTAATTCCATGCTGTCAATTTGTGATGCAATGTAATACTTTGACAAATTAAAAGAAAAGTTAAACCAAACCAAAAAAAAAAAAAAAAAAAAAGACAAAAGATAAAACAAAAGTGGCAGGGGGTGGAAAACTCAAACAAATCCATTATAAATCTATAATAATCCATTTCTTACACACACAAATAGCTACTACTGAGAAAAGCCGAACCAGAGAGAAAAGGAAGAGGAAAGAGAAAGGAAAAAAGAAAAAGGGGGAAAAAAAAGAAGAAGAAGAGAAGGAAAGAAAAATAGAAAAAAAGTTCGTCAATGTGTTAGGAATTAAGTGGGTTATACTATTAGGCTTGAATTCCTCAATTTTGAAAAGTAAGTAAAAAGTTACTTATTGTCAAGTTATATTTAATTTTATAGTTATTATATTGTTATATCAAATTCAATTTTATTGAAGAGATTAAGTATAATAAACTATGAAATTAAGTAAAATGAAAGAAAAACTAGTTTAGTGATTGAAGAGACTTTAGAAAATGCTTCAACACGAAATGATTAAGTTTGAGTATCGTTTATTTAATTATTGAAATTACTTAAAATAGTTAATTGTTGATTTAAAAATTAATTATATTTCAGGTGACGATATAGACGTTGGGACAGTTTACCGACCGAGTTGATTTTGGCGTATATAATTCAGTGAATGGAAAAAAAATATAAATATTTTTAAAGTATTTATAAATTAAGTATATTGTTAAAGTATGTACAATTATATGCAATTATGTGTTTGAATTATATGGTTATTATGGAAATATCTTTTATTATGATACATGTGAGATTTTAAAGATTGTATACGGTACATTGTGAATTGGAATATGAGATATGATTTTGAGATCGATCAGAAAAGTACCCGTGATTATATATTTCTTCTAGTTTACTGAGGGGCTTTAGCTGTGTTTTATACTACATTGAGGGGTCTTGGACCGGGGATGAAGGGATCTCGACTGTGTATATATAGTTCACTGAGGGGCTTTGACCGTGTTCTAAAATTGATTATGAGAGGTCTTTGAAATCAACTTTCGTTAAAGGAGAGGGCCAAAGACCCGTGGCGAAAGTTCTTAGCCCGAATGGCGGATTACATATTTTAGTCAGAGGGTATATTTTTGGTGGATTTTTCCGCACGTTTGATGTGATGAGATTATAACATGGTTATCAGCTAATGTTCATATCATGATTTTAAGATTATATTTTATGACCTGATATGAATATTTCACTTTTTGGCTATAATTACATGATGGTAGCTTGTGAATTATCAAATAATATAAATTTGATTTTCAATAAAAATGTATAAATGAAAAAGTATATTTATTTTGAACTTCTCCACTCACTAAACTTTCAACTTATATATTTTCTCACATTTTTTATTATCAGGCAACAGCTGAGTATCTGGATATCTTTTGGAGTTGAGCCTTGATTTTGGAGTCAGAGCCACACGACAGAGTTTGTTAGTATGACTCACTTCATAGAGTATATAGTCAGCATTTTGGGACGCATGTCCATATTTAGATGTGATTTTACATCACTTATAGATAGTTATGGGGCTCAATATGTATTTTGTATCCATATGTACATTTTATGTTATTTCTCGGTAAAAGTTAAGATTTCGACTTATTTCTATTGTGTTGCGTTATAGTGTGGAATTTGTGTGTAACTGATCATAGGTTAGTTAGTCCTGTTTACAGGAAAGATAATGTCGAAATTCTGTAAAAATGATGTATAAAAAGTGGTAGATTATTGTTGTCGATTTTATCCCGCAATTGAACGGATCGTAACAAGTAGTAAAGTGGACATTTTGAGTCCGGATTATCGTTCACACGAGAACTGTACTTTTAATGCTCAATTTATTATTTCTAACTTCTATTTGACAAAAATAAACAAAAACAATGATTAAATGTGATTTTTATTCTAAAGACTTAAAAATGCGATTGAATGCAACGAAAAATGATTGAGAATTCAAACAATAAATGGACGTTAGGGCGGAACAATTTCACCTATTGGTCATCTTTACTTCATAAATCAAGATTCATAAAACATAAAGTAGTGTTCGGTCGAATTCTTCTATTGTATTCAACTTACCCCTCTCGAGTTCTCATTGAGCCTATTTAATTAGTTTAATTCCATATCTCTATGCAAATTAAATTTAATTAAACGAAGCATTGGTTCTAAGAATTCACACATGACCGCAGCAATTAATATATGTATCTCTACACGTTATATCAATTTACTAAATTTTAACATGTGGTCTAAACAAATAATCCGCATCTCTACGCAATCATTGTTCACAAATCATCTAATTAGTGATCAAGTAATTAAAAACAACATTAAAATCAACACATAAAAGCACTAGAATCTCAATTGCATGAAATAAAGGATTCCAAAAGATTACATTGTTCGCCCTAAAATCAAATTTATCTACTCATAATAATGGAAGAAAAATAGAAAATTGTCTCAAAATACATCACCGGATTTGTAATAAAGATGTAGAAGAAAAAGTAGAATTCTTGCACCAAGATCTCCTTCCCCTTCCAATGAATACTTCTAATCTTCAATTGCTTGGTGTTAATCTTTTTGAATTTCTCTTTTCAATCTCCCTTCTTGTTGTCTTCTCTCCAATATGTCAAGAACGCGTGACTTGATCCCACATATTTTTAGTGTGCGTCTCCCTCCTAATTTAGGTCTTCAATTTTGTGTTTATGATGTTTTGGAGTTTAGGGAAAGATTTAGAGATGAGTTGGACCGAAAAAGAATGGTAAAAACCTAAAAAAATTACTCTTGCACGGCGGTGCCTGGGCGCTGCGATTTGGGCGCCTAGGCGCTGACTTTCTGTCAAAATTTCAGCATCATGGCGCCTGGGCGCCGAGGACTACTTCGGTTGCACTAGATAGCTTTCAGTATTTTTGTCATAAGTTTTTCGTTCGATATCCAATTAAAGTGATTCAAGATGCGTTGGAAAGATAATTCAAAGGAGTACAATTTTGCTTCAGGAATCATTCTCCAATTAGATCGTTTTCTATGTCAAAATAAGTCTAAATGTGAGACCAAAACTCCGGCGCAAAACTTTTTGGTTGGAAAATGATTTATGATCATATCTTGATTGAATTTGATCCCTTTGACACCTTCCTTCATCCAATTGGCTTCTAGAACTCTCAGATCTTTATTTCAAGTTTCGACATGACTTTTGATTAATTGCATTTTAATCCTCGAACTTTGGATCTCTTACGTTTTGATCATTTCATCTAATTTCACTAGCTTTTGCTTATTTCCTTCCTTTGACCTCTTTTAGTTCTTGTTTTCTCCACTTTCATCAATTTACAAAACAATATCAAAATCATTTGTTAGCACTTCTAAAATACTCTCCAAGATAGCAAAATCATGAAATTAATGGCATAATATAATGAGTGTAAATCACTCATCAATTATACTTGTAGTAATCTTGATGGTGGGTCCAACTTTCAGTTGGTATCTATCATCGACGCATGCCACGTCCGGATCCAATAATGTTACACGGAATGGGGCGTGTCATGCAATACTCCAACAACTTTGGTCAAACTTCATGTTACTTTTGTATCGTCTTCCAAGAAAAAAATTGCATCCTAAGACAAGTACAATGTTGGTAAATAATTTTTTGTGAGCCTGAAAATCTCGAGACATAAGTTTGACTACTTCATGGCTTAGTTTACTTATTGATTTTAGTCTTTACGGTTATATCAACTCAAATTGATCCTAAATATCAAGTCATTCTTGTGCCAACAAATAACTAGAAGTTGGAGCTATTGAATTACTAACAATCGAACCTTTTATTTCAATAAGATAGCACATAGCGTTTACTACTAGTCTAAGCAACAAGGTTGCATGATCTTATCCAAAGCACCAAGAATAGAAATTTTGGTAACTATAGTAAGAATCTTGGTTATTTGCTTTTTGTTCCCTTAGGTTTCCCAAAGAATGGCCTTCAAAATGGTCTTTTCATCATTATCTGTATATAATCGTCATCATCTTTTTCTTTAATCGAGGACGAGATAACTCGACTTGTTCATATTATTGTGTTGTAAACTCTAAGCACATAGCAATTTCAGAAAAAATATCTGAATTGATGTTTTATTCAAAACAAGCTATTGGCTTATATAAGCCTTACAAAGAGATTGGAAACAAACAACCCACGTTTTACAGGTCCTAATAACGTGGTAAATGGCTAAGGAAATAGTCAGACTCTACCTACATGTCCCAAATAATAGGATTTATTAACTGAATA